AAAATCAGTGTATTATTTGAGATTTATCATCATTTACCACTAGTTTTGGTAAATTACATCAATGACCGGTGAAAGATGTACATTTGAATTTAAAATTTGGTTTTTTACATCATTTACCTACWTAATCGAATCAATTTGGTAAAAGACGTCATTCACCGGAGAATGACGACATTCACCAATATTCATCTTTTACCGTAACATATACATGTTGAAGGGTAAGAACAATTAAAAAAAAATCCGATTTTTGTACTAGTGACTTACTTATTTTTTCCCAAAATTTTGGAGCAAAGTTAAAATACATTGCAGGTGGCATTGCACCATGATTACAATTACCTTACTTTGATGTATATAATTTCTTTTGGTGCAATGTTTAGTACCTGTGTTTTAACTTATTTGAACCTATACATAATATAATAATAAAAACTATTTTTTTTTCAGTTTATTGAAAGACTTTTTTCAATATATATATTTAAACAAAATTACAATACTAAACAGAACAATATTACTTTTTAACAAAATTACAACTTAACAGTCTTTTTATAATAGGTAATAATAACATAACATTAACAATACAAAAATAACTTTTTTAACAATAAAAACTATTTTCATTTCTTTTCTTAGTTTATTGAAAGACTTTTTTCAATATATTTTAAACAAAAAAACAATAGCAAACTTTAAGAAATTTATTAGTTAACAGTCTCTTATAATTACCGTAATAGGTAATGATAATATTAAAAATATAAATAACTTTTTAAACAATATAAATAACATATTATCAGACTTATTAATTTTATATTATTATCACATAATTAAGTGGTATATTCATCCAACTCTACAACTTTAAAGTATCCTCGTCTCACAAACACTGGTGGTTTTATTTTCATTAAAATATCACTCCACTTGTAGAACATTGTATCTTCCTTAATTGGCCATTTATAAAATGCCTTAGTTTTTTCCATAGATTTGACAATGGCACCATCTACGTCAATACTGGTTATTAGACCTGGGTACATATTATTAAGATAATTCACAATCACAAAATTATTGACTGCATATTTTCCATCACTGGTCACTGGGCAATCATCTATATCATATTCTGAACTCGATTCACTATTAGTATTGATTAGTATGGCTTCTGCACTTATATTAGCATCAATGTCTGATAACTCATCATCAACATGTGCATAACTTGTTCCTGCAGGAACTTTAATTTTTTTCCTTTTTGTTGTAGGCTGTGTGGTTTCTGCTCTTTTAACTTTTAAATGTTCAATAAATGATTCATCAACACTAGAACTTGCATTTAAAGCATTAGGAAGTCTATTTAATAATTCTTCAACTCCACAAGGAAATATACCACACTTCCTAAATCCATTTTGTAATGTAGTTTTTAATATTGGTTCCAATACATCCAAAAGTTTTTTTAATAATCCCGGAAATGACTGCTTTTGTAGGATTGGATTTTTTAAGCCATTAGTTGTTCCTTTCCATTCCCCAAGTATTTTTCTCCATGCCATTTTCATTGGATGAAATAGTGCAACATCTAATGGCTGCGTGCTGTTGGGTGGTAGGCAGTATACTCGTATATCATTTTCTTTACACTTCTCAATGACTTCAGGTGTTAAATGGGATGACAAGTTGTCCCCAATTACAACTTTTTTACCTGTTTTTTTTTTTAAATGGCGAAGTAGTGTATTATTAAACCAATCTGTAAAAATATTTGCATCAAACCATCCAGAAGTTGTGGCATTATAGCGGCAGCCTTTAGGTCCATGCACCGTCCAATTCTCCCAAAGACCTTTAGCTTTATACACAACGTATGGAGGAAGAATGTCACCAACAGCATTCCCACATATCATTAAGCTAATGCTGACTTTTGAGGTGTTACATATTCGTTCAGGATACTTTGATCCTCTTTTTACAAGAACTTTTTTTTGCCCAGGGTTATCCGTTAGGTTGGTCTCATCATAATTATAAATATTTTGTGGATCAACATCAGAAAGATTTATTTTTAAATTATTTATATACTCTGTTAAGGTTTCGGCATTTACAGAGGCCCTTGACCTTTTAATATTAGAAGCTAAGCGAACACTTAAGGTTTTGTGACGTTCAATGAAATTATCTGTCCATGTACGACCAGRTAGATWGTTTWWAAAAAAWTTAACRTGCCTACCATTTCTGTCCAAATATGACTTAATAATAAATTTAAGATCAGTCTTATCAATAGGAAAGCCATATTCACTCATAACATGAATGTTTCCAACAAAATTGTTCTCCTCTTGTTCAGTAAATACAATGGGACGTCCCACAGGTTGTACATGATGGGCTTTTAATTTGTTAATGATTGTTCGCCGAGGAATTTTGAAGGCTTTTTCAGCTTCTCGTTGAGTCATTTGTTTGGTCTTCACAGCAAGTAAACAACGTTTCAATGTGTGTTCTGAATAGTTTTTATAGGGCCTTGAACCCACTGTTCGTTTGTACCTGTTAGGCATGCTAAAATAAAATAAAATAGTAAATAAAAAAAAATGTTTGGAGCAAAGTTACATGAAATTTTATGATTTTTGGTTTATTTATCAAAATACAGATACATATTTAAAAATAACAATAAAATTGTAATAAACAATATATGTTTTTGAAGTTCAGAAGGTATGTTACTAATTAAAATACGTTTTACCTGGATATTAAATTTCAATCTTGTAGATTTTGGACAACTTTTCCGTTGCGATTTTTTTTGTTTTTGATAACAACTTATCACGACATACACCTTGGAGGCAAACTGACAGGTTGATGTTTGAAACGTTTCAAAACATTTGTAATGAAAATTACAACAAGATAAAAAAAACTACAATCGCTTATCACAAAATCGTAATGTGCGACGATTGATATCAATATATATTTGTTTTGGAGCAATGTTTAACCTCTGGAGCAACTGCATTATCTTTTAATGGTAACTTAACAATAAATTTTCCCGTCTCATCCCGTCTTGTATTTTTTGTAAAGTGCTCAACACAAAGTTTTTCTTCATTTGACCAATTTTCTTTTGATATACATTCTTCTACTTTCCAAAACATTTCAATTTTCTCCGATAAGCTAATGTCATGTTCCGTACATATAAACATACAACTGTTTAATGCAATCTCCGCGCCTTGTACATTTCCTCCCGCTACTATCCAGCCCCACTTTGTTTCTTGTAGGTGTAGACCAGACGGATTAACTTTGAAAATGTTAGTACCCATAATCTCCCAATATGTGTCCGCTCCTATAAGTATATCTATTTTTCCTCGTTGATAGAAATGCGGATCTGCTAATGTGATATTTTCGGGTACAACTGATTTTAGTGCATTGCATGTATTTGTTGGTAAGCAACCAGTTATTTTTGATAATACTAATGCTTGTCTAATTAGTTGGAATGAATTTACCCGTGATGGTATTATTATGTTAAGTTTGTATTCCGCGTTATGTTTGCTTTCTGCCACACCAGTAATAGGTAAGTTTACACTTTTTCGTGGTAAATTAAATTTTTTCATTGTCTCCTCGGTGATGAAATTACTTTGGTATCCACTGTCTAGTAACGCACGGCATGTATACCATAAACCGTCCTTACCTAATATTTGTATGATTGCTATTGCTAATAAAACCTGTTTACTATTTTTTGCTCGCTCTGTATATACCGACGTAAAAGACATCGCGTTTGCTATTGAACTTTGTTCCGTTTCTTCATCATTACCGCGGCCTTCTATTATATCGATCGGTTTGTTATCTGATGAGCTATCTCCTTTATTTATTTGTATGTTTTTACCCGTTTTTGTATTATTCCTATGCAACAGCGAATTATGCGATCTGTCGCATTGATTGCATTTTCGCGCTTTGCACTGGTCCACTGTGTGATTTGTTCGGAAACAATTTTTACATATTTTAAGTTCACTTATTTTTTTTATACGATTCTCCACATTCATTTTTATAAATTCTGGGCATCTATAAATTGGATGTGGTTCTTGGCACATATAGCACTTCATGCCCGTTGACGACTCACCTCTAGTGGTATAACTGTGTCCCCTTACGAGGAATTAGTTTTGTCTTTTCAAATTTTCCTTTTGAACTTTCCACCGCCTCCAGAATTTGACAACGTTCGTGTAAAAAACTAATCATTTTATAAATAGTAGGTAATTCATTTTGCGCATTTAATGTTTCCCATTGGCGTACCGTGTTTGAATCGAGTTTCGACGTTATCACGTGTAGCAGTAGTGCACCCCATAGAGATCGGGATCATAATCTAATGCTTGCAGTGCTTGTCTATGCTGGTTTAATGTATTTGTGAATCGCCTTAATTTTTCTGCAGATTCGTCACGTATACACGGTAACTCATAAATACATTTTGTATGCGACTGAATCAATAACCGTTTATTGTTATACCTATCTGTTATTATTTTCCACGCCGACTCGTAAATTATCTCGGTTGTTTCTAAATTTTTAATTATTTTTGATGCCTCTCCTGATACCGAAAAATAATAAATAATGAAATTTTTGTACTTTTGTTAAGCCCTCATTTTCGTGCACTAGTGATCTAAACATATCTTGAAATGCCGACCAATCTTCAAACGACCCATTGAATATCGGTATTTCTATAGGTTTTAATTTTATGTAGCTTGATTTCTGCGCTAAATTGTTTGACTCTCTTGCTATACAATTTTTATCCGTTTCTTTAATTCCATCGTTTACAGGCGTTAACTGGAAAAACTTTCTTAATCGATTTGATTTTAGCGAAAGTTAGAAGTACTCGCGACATTGCCTTAGCTGTAGCATCTTCTGGAATCGCAGCTACACTGCTCGAGGGTGGTCGAACGACCCATGCTACCTTCAAATTACCACTCAATCTAACAACTTCGGTCACTCCCTTTTGTAATATATCAAAACAAARTAATTTTGCGGAAGTTTTAAAAGATACAAAATTAATAGTGTGGGACGAAATTACAATGGCGCATAAAGGTGGTGTTGAGGCTTTAAATAGATCTCTAAAGGATATAAGGGAAAATAAAAGGTTAATGGGTGGTGTAACGGTTTTACTGGCTGGAGACTTTAGGCAGACTCTACCAGTAGTACCAAAAGGGACCAGAACTGATGAAGTCAAGTCATGTCTTAAAAGATCTATTTTATGGCCTAAGATTAATACGAGGGTGGTTCAAATATGATCGAGACAAATGCTGTAACACGTTTATTTATTATCGAAAAAATTTACAAAAAATCACATTTTTTCTAGGTAATTCCCCTCAATATTTATACATTTTGTTCACCTTTCCGGAAGTTTTTTGATGCCGGTATCGAAAAATTCCTTGGGCAACTCGGACAGTTATGTGCGCACGAACCCCTCTACCTCGTCGTCGGTGTTGAACTTTTGACCTCCGAGGGCCTCTTTTAGTGGTCCAAACATATGGAAGTCGCAGGGCGATAAATCCGGACTGTAGGGGGGGTGTTCCAGTACCTTCCACCCCAATTTCGATATTGTATCGAGCGTGAGACGCRCGGTATGAGGGCGYGCGTTATCCTGGAGGAGAATCGCACTTCGTGCTGGAATGCTCCTYYGTTTCGACCWATAAGCGGGTTTCACGTGTGTTTTCAGAAGGTTAGAGTAGTATACAGCATTAATGGTACGTTGAGTGCGCAGCAAATCGACGTACAGCACGCCCTGCCGGTCCCAGAACACAGTACACATTACCTTACCCGCGGACCAGGTTGTCTTCGCTTTGACTGGCGCCCCTTCCTCCTTCTTCCTCCACTCTTTACTTGACACCTTGGTTTGGGGAGTGTAATAATGTACCCAAGTTTCGTCTGTAGTGAAGATTTGCGTTAAAAAATCGTCCCCCTCCGCCTCGTATCGTGTCAGTAAGCGGTGACAAACTTCCAACCGCGTGAATTTTTGCTCAAAGTTCAACAGTTTAGGAACCCATCGCKCCGTTATTTTGCGATATTGATGGTGTTCGTGGATAATAGACTCTACACGATACTGACACAATACTGGGGGCCTATTCTCAAAGGCATCGAAAGCAGTGGTCGAATAAAACTGTTCGATTGTGAATATTCGATCATTAATATTTATTCGACACATTATATTCGATCAATCGTATTCTGAAACAACTATCGAATATTGAATGTCGAATATTATTTTATTCGATATACTTTTCGATTATCGAATAAAACCATTGTTTTGTCCATGTAATTTTCAG